ACCTCACCTCTTATTTCTACCTCCATGATTTAAATTGAGGATTTTGGATCTTTAGAGAGTGTTTCTGGCATCTGTGTTGGATGGTCAGATTCTTCCAGCTCTAGTATAATTAAAAGTATCAGCTTTGTGTTCTCATTGCCACCGATACTTTAATCTGATGTGCCAGTAAATTAGTGGCTAGCTTATAGCTTAAAAATTAACTATGTAGTCTTAGACTACTGATCAACATTTTTCATTTATTTGATGTTTCGCATTTATTTGCATCGCCACTAGCCGTGGTTATGCTCTAAGTTCAGGCCGTGCTCTGTTTTGTTAAAAGTTCAGTTTAAATAAAAAGGTTGTTTTAAAATCTTTCATAAAGCTTTGTCATAATATCTCAAGTGATAATTATATTAGGGTTATAAGACTAAAATTCCATTATTAGACCAAGAATAACCTTATAACTTAATGGAAGTTTAAGATATTCATAATGACTAAATGTGTAAGTTTATTAAAAAGTTAATAGAGACAGAGCTTAAATTGCACCGGAGCCTGGCTCCGGTACTTCTTAGTTTTTGGAATAAATCATAAATATAGCCGGAGCCCTAAATAAGAAGGCTCCGGCACTTCTTTTATGCAACCGAACAAAAATTTGATCTCAAACATTTAATTTTTTTGCAGTAAAACTGTATTACAAATCGCTTATTAAATTTTAATTTATCTCTTTACATTTTACTTAATTTTAATTACTTTAATAATTTATTTAATTAAATAACAATCATTAATTAAAAATAATCGATATTATATAAATTAATAAAATAATAATTTGGTAATTTGGTATTAACTATTTAATTTTTAAATTATTAATGATTGTAACAATCATTTTATTTATTTATTTACTTTTCTTCCCTTTGCTGACAGTTTAGCATAGGGTTCTGGCACTTCTAAGTTTAGAAATTAAGTCCTGAATAAGGATATTTATTAATTATAGGAACTTGATAAGTAACCTTCACCAGCAATTTAATAGCCAGTTGATTGTGTTGTTGCCAAAGTAATTTTGTCATGATTTGAATATGGTTATCTTCCACTGTCGGGGCCGTTCCTAGCGCGGTGCAGCTGTAAAATTATGCAACAACTGAACACTCGCGATACCACAACTAAATATTTTTAATTCATTGTACTTGTCACATGTAAATACTTTTTATACAATTTGTCACATATAAGTACTTAGTGAGTATGAAATAAAAATTCAACTAATCATTAAGAATTTTTTTTTTTAATTTGGGCACTGTATTCTTAGGAAAGTACACAGGCAGCCAATGGCCTAAAGACGGCCCTGTCCACTGGTGTAAATCTGTGGTGTTAGTCCAGCTGACAAGTATTTCATATTTCTGGTGTATAACTCTCAAGCTACGTTCTGCAGTAGAATTGCTTAAAAGTAAGAATGAAACAGGGATAACACATATGTCATTCATTTGCTGCACAAAGTATAACTCAAGATATTTGAAGTTAAAGCTCAGTTATATTCACTGCATTGCAACATGTCGAGAGAAAGGCAATTTTTATCCTTACCGTCCTACACCAGGGATGGCCAACACACGGCTTTTACTTTTTATGCAGCAACTACAGAAAAGTATATCATTTTTAATAAAATTCCCAGCAAGTCTGTAAATTACTTCCAGAGAACAGGCTCTAAACAATAATGATATTGCTAATATGAGCTCTAAACAATCATGCATACTGCTTTATTTCAAGCCTTTCGCACATTAACTATTACAGACAGCAAACTTTGATTTAATATTGAAGCAAATAGACATAGAAGATATGCAAAGTTCTAGTGATCTGTTTGCTCTAATGCGTACCAATGATGGTGATATGTTACTTAGGGTTTATCATGTTTTAGGTTTGAAAATGCTAGACTGTAGGAATCTGCAGGAAACGGGAAAATGAACACTTTCCCCCTCCTCCAGAATTGAGTAAAAAATATATTTTTGCATCAATATAATATTGTATATTTCATAATCTGCTATAAAATCTTCAAAATGTGTGTGCGTGTGATTATGGCAAAGCCTCGAGGGCTATCTGCCTAAGAGGAGGGATGCCTTCGTGGAGGACTTTCTATGGAAAACTGGCTCCTATACACGTTACACATGGGAAAACCACGAAAACGCCATGCAGCCAGCCCGTTCACGGGATTCGAACTTCAGACCGAACTACTAGTGTTCAGCGACTTTATCGCTCGCTCGGCCGCTGGTGGGCCCAAAAATCTTCAAATTAAGTAGTTAAATAACAATGTGTTGATTTGATTGTTGGAACTGGAATATGGGAAAGATCATGTGGGGGAAGAAATACCTTCATGGAAGACTTTTTAATCAAAACTAGTTTGTTGGTTTGGTTTATTTTATTATGGCAAAGCACTTGATGGCCATCTGCCTAAGGGGAGGGATGCCTTTGTGGAGGACATTGTAAGGGAAACTAACTAAACTGGCTCGTATACACATTACACATGGGGAAAACATGGAAATGCCCATGCAGACAGCCCATTTGAGGGACTTGAACCTCGGACCAAACTACCAGCGTTCAGTGACTTTACCGTTTGGCCGCTGGTGAGCCAAAACTAGCTTGTATTCATATTCATAAATATTTCGGGTGTTAACTGACATATTTATCTTTCAGATGTGCAAAGAAAACAGACAAAACTTCCTGCTCAGTTCTGTTTGTAATAATAAATGCACAGGGAAAGCCGTGAAGCAAAGCATCAAGTAAAAGCAGTGTGATTAATTCAATTCTGTAACCGTTCAACCTATGTGTACCATTTATACATATATAGTCTGATCCCAACTTCTGAAGAAAGTGCCTCTGGGAGTCATTCATTTTCATTAATGTGAAATCATCATTTTAAAATTCAGGATAACTTTCTAAAATTTTATTTTAAGGCTTATAAAATAAAAGAGTTGTTATCCTCACTAGTAATTTCATTAACCCCAGGCATTTCATTAACATTTATACAATCATTTTTATGCCTTACAGCATTTGATTGTGGATTATAAGAATTTTCGGTATTATTCTGTTACTGGGACCAGATTCAGAATGTATACATTCATATGTACACATATATATGCATACATGAACACATCCATCCAGCCATACATGCATACATTTCTGATTCTGGTTCTGACAACGGAAGAGTACCGAATTTTCAATATTCCATAAATCATTCTTTGTCAAAAGATGCAGTATCATATACAGAATCTTGAATTTTATCTAAAATTTCATCAAAAGATACTTTTCCAGCAATTAAGTTAAGTTACATAAATTAACATTAGAATGGTATAACTGCCGTTCTAATTTTGTAAGAGACAGATGCCCTATACCCTTTCTATGACTTACAATGGGTTTTTTCTATATAAGCAGTACATTTTCCATTATTAAACTGGCTTACTGGGCAATAAGCATTAATTTTGTTTACTCCCTTGTATTTTTAAATGTCCCATGCCTTGCACTTTAGATATAAAATAATGTCCTGAATGATGGCATACAAAATAAATATCTTTTACATGTAATGGGTCATGTTTCTCTGTAAGTTAAAAAAATTTAGATTATGTTTCCATTTCAAAATTCTCCTTTCACAACATGAAATCATTAAACACAGAGAAATCTCTCTCTTCTTTTTAAATGACTATTTCATGTTCCATTTGCAAATGTAATGAAAAGTTTTCCTTTGGAAAACCTTCATCACATAATGTGCATTTATATAATTTTTTAATGATGAACACTCAAGGGCAGTAAATGCACTATCTGATTGTGAAAATAATAAATTTTTATTATTGTTGAACTGACGACTATATAAACAAACTGCATTTAAATTGGAAAACTTTATTTTTACTTGCTTTGAGTAATGTTGTTTGTTTGTGATATATGCAATTTCATACAGTGACATTTTAGATTGCTGTTACTTGAGAAACATTTTTTTGGAATCAGGGCAGCTAAAAACTTTTTTGAAGTTATACTGGATTTTGAAGCAAAAGTATATGAAATCGAATTACCCATTGACGACTTTATAAAATGCATGATCTGAATTGGAATTAAATATTTCAGCAGTAGAAATATGCTTTTTATTGGAATGTATGTTCTTCAAATGATGCTATAAATTGCTGGCATTTGAAAAACACACTTTTTGCAAATAGAACAGTTGTAAGATTTTGAAATTACAGTTTTTCTGAAAGATGTTACCAATCGTAATCAAAGCGGAAATGTGAATTTCAGATCTATTGTCTTGAATGATCATTGATATCACCACCCAGCTCATTTAAATTGGTGCTATATATTCTAATATTCTGAAGCAGAATCCTCACAATATTCCTAAGTATTTGGCCGTGAGAAGGGTCTTTTATTGAGAGATTCTTCAGTTCATTATAAATATGTGAAAGCAAAATTCACATACTAACGAAGCATAAAACGCACGAAGTCAAATGCAAAATGTAAACAGACACATTTTTGACGTATCTGTTAACGTCACATGATGCGCAAACTGAGATGCGCGTAAGACGGGAGGATCAGATTCATGATCCCAAAAGTTGCCTTCTCTCCGTAGACGCTTGTCTTTATCTTCTGCCCCCGTGATATGTTTCCCTGTACAGGTAGATTGATGCAGGAGCTGGTGACATCCAGAGATACTTTCTCGAATATTTGTCTCCTAATGTAGACCGGCCTTAAGATTGGCTAAAGACTTCATTGCTTTGTATTGGGTGATAAATTTAACCAAAGTTATTAATACCTTTCTCTTCTGTAACATTTAAAGGGTTTGAAGGCTCCAAATAAACAATTTAATTTAAATTCTTAAGAAAATAAATAAAAATTTCTGCTAATTCAATAACGTGAGATTATAGTTCAATTATAATAACAATGATTTTGGTATATTTGTTTTTTTAGCTTATTTATTTTTTAAATTTTATTTTTCCTATAAAAATGGAATGATTCATTGAGACTATAATTACACAATATTTAAGAGCAACACGTACTCTTCTCCTGGGAAACCACTTCGCCTCTTCGCTGATTCGTCTAGATTAATTCTTGCTACCTGTAACAAATAATTAAATCTGATAATTAAAATATATTCCCAAAATTTCTGAATTATATATCTAAACGAATTATTTTAAAAATTCGGTAAAATGTATCAATGCACATACTTACGTTTTTGTAAAGATCAGAGACATAAATAACCGACCTAGGGTCTTTTGGGTTTCCAATATACAATTTCATGTCATAGGCCTACGAAATATAACATATATTAATATCTTCTTCTCAAAGTTGTTTTGGTTTCTGAATTAATTCCGGGAGCTATATAGTCAAAACACATAGATTAAAGTCATGCTTTCAACATGTCAAACAACTCAGGTAGCTTGCGACAGAAGAAATATATATTCAAATCTATTATTTAGACGAATATAATGAATAAATAAAGTGAAGGTCGTAGCGTTGATTTAGCAATGCAGCCATATTCAGTTTGAAGAAATTATGTTACACGTTAGTTAAAAAAAGAAAATTTAGAACAATTTTCAAACCTATATAAAAAGGTAAACTAATTTTGATATATTAATTTAAAACGATCACAACAGAAAATGCCCTAAGATCCGTAACAGAAGAAGAAATTTGTAAGCGAAACGTCCTAAGACAAGTAACAGAAATAGAAATTTGTAATACAAAAAGTTTTAAGACCCGTAATCACTTAAGAATGGCAAACACTGATGAGTGTTTTAAGTTCTAATGTACCAATTGTGCCCCGATAATATTTTCTTTTCAAACGCCCTTTAAGGATGCATTATTTTTTTCCAAATCGCTACTTTAAATATATTCTAGTACTGTAAGATAATTCTTCAGTTAAAATCAGTGAAATCTTGAATTTTCTTTCAAAATTAGCTGGAAAATTATTTAGAAATTTTAGAGAAATTAAGGAAAAAGTTCCTGTTTTGTATGCAGCCATTTAAGTTTGAATTTCTAACTATTTTCTACGGAAACAGTGTCATTGAATACTACGTCTGAGTAGAGAGACATCTTTAGCTCCAAACTGAACTTTATATAATTAACTTAAGCTAAGGAAGAACAGGATTGTAGAGGAAAATATAATGACGATGTTAAAATTCAGTTGCGAGTACATGTAGGCAAGGTACCTTATCGTGTTCACCGAACGTTTGTTTTGTAAATTACAGTGGCGCATTTAGACTGTTTTCGCAATCAATCTCAAACAGAGGATATAACGTTTGGATATAATTGTTAATTTATATCACAAGTATTATAACTGGTAAGCAAACGGTTCGTTTATAATGTTGTTTTTAGTATTTATAAGTCTTATTTTACGGCTTGGTTTGGTTTATTTTATTGAAACCAAGGAAAAACACTCTACAGCTATCTTCCTGAGAGAAGGGATGCCTCCACGGGAAACATTATAAAGGAAACTGGCTCGTATACACATTACACATGTGGTAAAGCACAAAAACGCCCATGCAGCTAAGCCGGTTCGCCGCATATTCACAAAGCCTACAGATCATTTCTTCAACAGTACGCTCTCATTGGATGAAACATCTGCTTGTCGGTCATATTTAGAATGGCGAGTTATCGCTCTGTAGGCGTGGTAATTGACGTCAAACAAACTTTGTAGGCTTTCAGTACAGCGAGGAGAAACAGCTTTTATTTCATTCGATAATTTTTTATTTTATGAATGAAAGCTAAGGGAAATAGTGTAGAATATATTTTAAATAACCTACTGATCTTATTAATAGTTTATTGGTATTTGAATTTAAACTGTTAAAAGTACGATAATTGTTTTGCAAGAAAAAGTGTTTACAATCAATATTTACAGTCAATACAATCACTTAATTCAATAAACATTTAAGGGCGTCGGATATCTATTCTTTTAACCTAAATTATGAGTATGTATAACAAAAAATGATAGTTTATTCCATTACGCGCTGTTTCTATTGAAACGCTTTTTGGGATCTTGGATCATAATCTTGCTACTGGTACCTACTACAAAGAGTAGTACAGCCAAAACAAAGAGTACAGCCAGTAGATAAAAATAAGAAAAATTAGCATTAACAAAAGTAGAGAAAAATGAAGGTGTTAAATTTTGAGACTGCACCCGAAGGCGAAAAGACCAATAATAACAAAGTCATTCAATAAAGTGAGGATAAATACAAATTTGTCCAGGGCAGAGTTCGTAAAAGTTTACAAGCGGGCATAGAACCGGCGATCTAGAAGTCCGAGAAGTGTTTCCATCCTCTTTACTGTTGAGTTGCGGTTTCGCTGTTGGCTTTCGCACACTTTTCGGTACACGAGGCTGATATACAAATAGTATGGGCGATGAAGCAAAAGTCGCCAAGTACATGATTCTGTAACCCTACGTTTCCTCTTTTAACCAATCAGAGCAAACAGTAGGAGAAACGGTCTGTAGTCTTTGTGAATATCCCAGTTCGCCTGAAGTCGGATCCTGGTTTGAGCTACCAGTGTTCAGCGACTTTACCGCTCTACCGCTGGTAGGCCCTTATTTAACGATGAAGACGAAAATCATAGAAACAATTAGGAAATTCGCATTTACCGTTAAAGATACGGGCCAGAGACTATGTAAATAGAAGTTCGTATTAAACTACAACAACAATAGGAGAATTAGACAAAATAAACAAACCTTTTCTTTGGCTCGTTTTTTAGTTTCTACATCTAACCACTCCTTTTCTTCTATCATATTTAAAAACTCATTATGAACATATTTAAAAATCTTGAGTACCTAATGGGAAATGAAAGAAATTTTATGAAAGCACAATAATAATTACATCAACACTAATAATTATGGAATAATTTAAATGGTTACTGAGCGCAAAACAATCGCTTGAAATTTAAAAACGAAAAATATAAAGAGAAATTAAAAGCTTTCAAAATGTTTACAAATTAAAAGTGTTGGCTTTCATTTACACTAAATTATCATGCTCAGACGAATTATTGCCTGCGCAATTTGCTTAAGTGTACATATACTGAGCCGCCCGACAGGGATAGCGATTAGCGGCGCTGACTGCCGTACCGAAGGTCCCGGATTCGAATCTTGGAGAAGACATAGATGAATATAAATGTATTCTGTCTCACTATGGGCGGGCTCTAAATATGCGGCAAGCCAGAAGTCCTCACGATAGGTTGGTGATAGAGAAAGAGGAGTGGGAAAGCTTCGGACCCGCCTTCCCCTCATAAAAATTGGGGGCGGAACTGAGCAAAGTCGTACTGTCACCTATGGGGTTCTCAAGACTCTTGCCAAAGACCCTTTCCAAGATGAAATTCGTAGGCTTGCTCTGATTTTAGAACCTTATCTGATGTTACTGTCCGTCAGCTGGGAGAATTCATAACAACATATATTCTGAAATTCAGTTAGCTAGTAAAACAAAATAATTTAAGCTTGATTTTGCTGCTCACAGAGTACAACGTAAAGTTAGGAAACAATATGCATTTGCTATTTGAAGTGTTTCTTAGTACTAAGCATGCAAATACTCAAGCAAAATTAAGCCTGAAAAAGCTCCTTAGATATCAATTTCTTAGCTCTAACATAAAACTTGAAAGAGATAAACAAATCACACGCCATATCTAATATGCACAGCAGTTATCATTCCTCGGCTTCGGAGTCGCTGTATAAAGACAGAGATCGAAAGATAAAAGGCCACTGGACAAAATTCCACTGGACAAAAGCCTCACCCCCCGAAAAAAAAATCCCGTTATAACTGCCTATTCGACAAAAACCCACACAAATGAAACCGCTAATAACTAAAAACCCGCGTTAATAGAAGTCGAATCTCAAAAGACCTATACGGATATATATGACATGATACCCAGAAAATAATTTCCCCAATATTTTCATTTTAAGTAAAGAAAATTTATCAAACAATAACAGCAAAAATAAATTAATTAGATTAAATTAATTGCAAATAATTAAATAATATAGGCAGAAGATTGAACAACATGCTTCCTAATGTAGATAAGTACTTAAATAGCAGCTCTCCGCAATTTACCCAATAACTAATTGGGCATGGTCTAATTATTTCTTACTTGCATAGTTTCGGCCACTGAAATAATGCCCTACGCATTGGCGGTAGTATCCATAATACAGATGACTATCTGTTCGACTGCATATATACCATACTATCATTTGAAAAGACCCTACTTGACATACTAACAAGCTTCGTTCAGGAACACTAGCAAAAATGAATTTGCATTCATCCGCAGAAGACGCACATACTAACGTTACTAAGAATATAGCTAACAGCCTGGAATAATTCGCTGCTACTTCCCTACCTACTGTACATTTGAATTTTATTATTCACGTTTTTCTTCTTCGTATGAAGCTTTGGTTTTATATCCCTGTATTATTTATTGGACTTGCCTCCCAGACGGACTAGTGTTAGTGACTCTCATAGCGAAAAGACCGGTTTCGAAACCCGGAGCAGGTATAGATGTTTGTACATGTATAGTGCTTTGGTGACATAGGGACACTAAATATTGGGGGCGGCAACTTTCATAGTAGGATATTAAAAATACACCATAGTAGCTGTAAGTTTATTTATTACCAGTTATGTCAATTAATAGTTAAAGGTATACCATTTACTAATGTGTAAGTAAGTCATTGTCCATTGCATGGATTGCTTTTTGAATATGATGCCTGTCAAATGATGCCCTCTTAGCATAACACATTCATCTAGGCGGCGTTGGAAGCTTGCCATAACTCGGCGTAACTTATTCCATGGGACATTGCCGACGGAAGTTCTGATGCGATCCTTCAACTCAGGAATTATGGCACAACGTGTTCGGAAAACTGCTTGCTTCAGGTGGCCCAAATGGAAAAAGGTCTGGACATGAAAGATCGGGTGAACGAGGCGGCTAGGAAATGTCACCAAAACGGGAATTTATTCTATCTGGAAATGTCTGTCGCATTGGTTCGTCCATCTGGAACATTCCCATGGCGTCCCCAGTTGAAATGTTGCCGAAATAGACGCTGGGTAGCAATACCAGAGTGATGCTGTGCACCCCACCGATTCATATCTCTGTCACACTCGAAATGGCTGCTCATTAGTACACGAAGGCGGCACGAGCTGGCGCGCATTCATGCAGTATGTTATTGTGCTACGCAAGTCAAATTACGCTATGAACGCTGCTGCATCCTGTATATGGCTAACCGAACGTCCTTTCGAATGGTTTCATGGTAGAAGAGAGGGGTGGGAGACCTCCCAACCAACCCCAGTCTCTCAAATTTTAGAAGTCCAGAAGCCCTTGAGACTCTGACAGCCATTTTTTCATGAAACCATGGCCGCACACAACGTCAAGAAGGAAGTGGTAGGCCTAGAGAAACGACAGAACATGAAGACCGAGCAATTGTCAGAGCGGCACTCACAGCCCCGGATGCATTATCCTCGATTGTACACTGCTCAGAAAAAAAAATGGGACAGTGCTATATCTCCGGTTCTACTGGGCCGATTGACAAAATTCAAACTGCGTTTTTCATGTCTCGAAAGCACGACTTAGGATATATATTAGATTTATATATAGCACTATTAAATAACTAAGTAAGAAAACTTACTAAACATAATTCTAAGTTTTCTGCAATTACTCAACAATGTATATATGCTTGTTGATTTGTTGTGTGATTTATTTCTCTCTAAATATACTTTTCATGCTAATGTTATACTAATATATTGTTTTTTTCCACAAATATATTAAGTTATAAGCAACTGCATACCTTGCTTTTAACTGTATTCGTATGGAAATGATTACGTAAATATTATCATGTCCACATTTCATCACTGTGTATTCTTCTGCCATATAGGTCTTTGTAATAGTTTATACAATTTGTGTCTTTATACTATCATACCTGTGCAAATGTATAAACATCCTGTTTTTTCCACACATACAAATAATGTAATGCGTGGAACTTATTTCTCTCAACATTTTGCCTGTCCTCTTTCCCTGCTATACTTTTAAAAAATAATTGTCGAAACCTTTAAAAACCTGTCGAAACCTTTCCTTGTTTATAGATGCACTTACACACTTAGACAAAAAAAAAAAAAAAAAAAAAAAAAAATCGTGCACCATGACGCACCGAGAAGATATAAAGCAAACTGAACACAAATTGATATGCATACAGGTTTCGACGGGAAATGCAAAATTTTACATTTTGGCTGCCAATGAATGAACGATTGTCGCTACAGCGCATCTGATCTGCTCAACTGGCTGGATATTTAAGAGAAGAAATTAGGATTCCAGGTCATAAATTCTTTACGACTTTCATTCCTTGTACTCTTGTAGACAGTAACTATGCCTCGCATACAGGTGCGCGCGAATGATATGCGCATATGTCAGAATTTGAGAGAGGTCGTGTAGTTAGACTCAAAGAAGCCGGTTGGTTTTATCGGCAAATAGCTCGACATTTGAGCAGGAGCCATGCCACTATTAGACGATGTTGGCAGGAATGGGTGAACCATGGCCGCACACAGCGTCAAGAAGGAAGTGGTAGGCCTAGAGAAACGACAGACATGAAGACCGAGCAATTGTCAGAGCGGCACTCACAGCCCCGGATGCATCATTATCCTCGATTGTACACTGCTCAGAAAAAAAAATGGGACAGTGCTATATCTCCGGTTCTACTGAGCCGATTGACAAAATTCAAACTGCGTTTTTCATGTCTCGAAAGCACGACTTAGGATATATATTAGATTTATATATAGCACTATTCTAACATAGGTATTTTGACACAAAATCGGACTTTTTCTGAAATAACATATCTATATTTTTACACATTTCGATTCTACGACTCAAGTTATGCCAGAATACCAGGTTTTGTAAAAATCGTACGAGTAGTTTTTAAAATATTGACTCTCAAAATTTTAGCTCCTCAATGTTAATTGAATTTGGTAAATATTTATTAACATCTCTTTTTTTATTAAACTTTTATTATTTTTCCTTTCATATTTCGAAATTTAGGTTCATTCCAAATAAAATTTACCCATTTTTTTCTGTTTTATTTTTACAATTTCTATTCTTAAATAATTTTTATAAATTTTTCGAAAAAAAGTTTTAATTATAACCTATAAAATTTTTACCATCATCTTAAAGTAGGTGTATTTTTAAGCATATCTGCAAAAAATTAGACTTTTTTATTCAAAATTTTCTAAGATATACACGAATTTACATATTTTCGCGTTTTGAAATTTGCCATCTTTTTTTTGAGCGATAATAACGCCAAATGTGGTTTATGGAATTTTTGTTACAGTGAATTACCACAGCAATTTTTAACCTTAAATTTCAAGGAGAAATAATTATATGAAATATTTTCCCTCAATGATGCGTAATAAATATTAATTAATACTATATGAAAAGCTATTTTTTTAAAAATTACAGATGATATTATTCAAATGTTTAACTATTTTTTTTTTAAATTTCTCTTTTTCCTTTTTTAAAAAAAAAAAAAATAAGAGTAAATTTTTGTAAGGGTAAAATTTTGTAAGGGTAACATACAACCCTCTAGAGACTGATTTAAAGGAAGTTCAATGGTTATGTAGAAATGATCTGTAGCTAATTAATGGCTGGATAAGTCAGCAGGTTCTGTGGACAAGTAAGAATAATTATATAAACGACACCCAACATTCTGGATTCAATTAACAACGAGGATACGATATTTATTAAACGAATTTAAGAAGTTTTAAAACATAAAAAATCAACTAGTTTTTATCCTAAAATGTATTTTTGCGCGTAGCGTATTTTCATTATATCTTTAAAATTCTAATTTAGAATGTAATTGTCAAGAACTGAATCCTAATCATCAGTAATATAATAAGTAATTATTACGGTTTTTAATAAGTCCTTCTTCTGCAAATATTTCAAAAAACTTTCTGTTTGAATGAAAATATTTCTCTATGCAAATATTTTAAATTTTACATTAATCAAGATTGCACACGATATTATTTATTTACACTTCAATTCTTACCGTCAGCTCTAGTAGAAGTTACAAATCAATTATATTTAATTAAGGATTGGATTGGATTGTTTAATTATGGCAAAGCACACGAGGGTTATCTGCCTAAAAGGAGGGATTCCTTCGTGGAGGACTTTCTAAGGGAAACTGGCTCGTATACACGTTACACATGGGGAAAACCACGAAAACGTCCAAGCAGCCAGCCCGTTCGTGGGATTCGAACCTCAGACCGAACTACCAGTGTTCAGCGTCTTTACCGCTCGGCCGCTGGTAGGCTATTTAATTAATTAATGACCATCTAAGTTTAGAAACAGCGTATCGTAACAGCAATTCAATTATTGGCGGCGTATCTTTCATGTTACTCCCGATTGGCAATCTACATGATTTTTAATGAGTATTCGGGCTAGTAACTTCACTTGGAAATCGCGCTTAAACTAAGTTAGTGGTTATTTGAACATAGAAAGAACATGGGAGCTATTTGATTAAGATGCTTTCATAGAGAACCTTTGTAAAGAGAACCTAGAAAACTATGAAAACCAACCATGCAGCCTGGGTTAGACTTCGCAACAAACAATTAGTATTTAAAAATCTTCAAATGCTAGGCAACTGGTGAGGCTCCAATTAAATCTCCAATTTAATATTTTATTTGTAAATATTTAAAATATAGTTGTATTCTTAGACACAAAAAGCAGAATTTAAGTTTTGTTAACTCGTTAGTAAACTACCAAGCCGTAGTGTAAATGAATATTCAATTTCTTTTGCAATAATTGTATTCACTTAATATCCTTGGAATATGAGCTAAATAAGGAACGTTCTCGGAAGATTAAAGAAGTGTTTAAATCCAGTGATATTACGTTTGTCTTACAAGCTCAGGATCAAAACGATTCTGCAATTGCCCGAGCAGTTGACTTGTAAATGGCTGTGAATTAAGCAGATGACTTTTAATCTTACTTTTTCAGTCAGAAAACGTATTCCAAATGTTTTGTATTGCATGACAATGCATGTTTTCATTATTCAATAACCAGTCGGAGAACCGCTTGTGTTCCGAAAATAAGCATGTATATTGAATCGTCCCGCATGTTCTTCAAATTTGTCTTCTTGTGACTTTTTTTCTTTCCCAAAAACTAAAGTTGCCTCTCAAAGGAAAGTTTTTTGACATTGAAGAGACAAAAGGAGTATGACATCTACTTTTAGAGGCATGTCAAAAACAAATTTCTACAAGCCTTCTCTTCCATTACATGTTGTGCAGTCAGACAAATGTTGCATCAGCGTAAATTCTATAATCTATTTTTATTACACTCTGATTACTTTATTAACATACAGTGAATATATACTAAAACTTTTACTTCAGCTTAAGTAATTCGGAATTGTTGTCGGAACTAGGACGTAGAAGATAAGTCAAATTAAATATTTCGGTAACCCAATAAATTCAAAGTCGAAGTTTCAATATTTGATTTTCGGAGGGAGGGGAAATTTTTTCAGTTTTGGTCCATTATCCTAAGTATATTTGCTTCGATTCTTTATTTTTCCATAAAAGCGAAAAATTTACGCATGATATACATATAACGCATAGCTTCAAATTAAAATTTAATAATATACAGAGAGGTTAATTATGACCTAAGTTCCACATTGAAACGGTCATAAAAGGAAAACTACTGGATCAAGTGTTATCAAGCTTAGTAATCGTGTAAAAGAGGTCATAGGAATTTATTTTCCGGGAAAAAAGGAAGTTCGAAACCAGGGGGGAAATGGCGCTGTATGCAATATTGTTAAACGAAACATGGGTCGGAATCTAACTTAACCTTTTGTTACACGGGTTTCATATGTTTCCCATAAGAAACTTTGAAGTAAGCAAATTACCATTTAAAGGCGTTAAATTCTATAAAATGTCGAATGCGCCATCCGTGTAAGTGAGAAATTCGTCCGTGAAAACCACGAATTAGAGATTAGAAAATGTGAGATCGCAAATCACTCGCACAAGTGCGTACAGTCTGGAAATCGTTTTCTAACAGATCGCTAATTTGTAATTTTTGAAGCCTGAATTAAAATTTAGTATTTGTATTTTTTTTTTTTTTTTTTTAATTTAAAACGTTTTAATCTTATGATATTTGATTCTTGCGATTTCAAAAATAAAATATTTGACTAAAATAGAATAACATTTTAAGAAACCAAATGTGGAATAAAATTGTGTAAAGCAATGGGCACAATGATAAAACTGTTTAAAGCAGTGTATGCAAGTCATCCTAAGTTAAAATGTCGGTTATACATCTCTCTTATTTATATATATCTCTTCTGAACAGAACATTGAAAGGCGTGTTAACTGTGCTTTACTGTATTTTCTCTTTTAATATATGCAGATTTCAAACGCATCGTAGTCTGGGTTGCAAACTATTCTTCCGAAAGAAACGCAATTCAAATAAATAAAATCAAATTCTGGAAAATTTATATTAATAAATATATTTAAAATGCTCAGTTCGAAGGAATAAATAGAAAATTTTAAAACAATTATCTGAAGAGACAATGCAACACAAACAATTAAAATAAAAGTATAAAAATTTAAAATTACCTAAAATAATAACTGTGACAAAATATATATATATAAGAAAAGTATTTGAAAAAAAAAATAAACCCTGCACCTTTATTTACGCAGTTCGAATAGGTAAATAGAAATTTTTAAATCAGTTATTCGAAAAAACCATGCAACTTAAACAATTAAAAGGAAATTCGAAAAAGAAAAAATTACTTAAAATAATAACAGTTATAATTAAAAATATAATATAAAGAATATTATTTGGAAAAAAGGAACGATGGTGACTTTTTTCCCTCTGACGGGAAAGGAAACTAGGTTGCCATATATTAAGAAGTTCGCCAAGTGAACTCTTCTTGGCTCAAACTGAAAAAAAGTGCCAACATAAATTTGTGAATTTCTCCGTAAATTTCGCTCCAAATTTTACAAAATTTAATATTTAGGCGTAATTCGAGTTATAGAATCGAAATATGTAAAAAAATTGGTATGTTATTTCAGAAAAAGTCCGATTTTGTGTCAAAATGTTAGATATTTCTATGTTAGATAAGTTCTATATATAAATCTAATATATATCCTAAGTCGCGCTTTCGGGACATGAGATACGCAGTTTGAATTTTGTCAATCGGCCCAGTAGAACGGGAGATATAGCACTGTCCCATTTTTTTTTTTTTTTTTTTTTTTTTTTTTTTTTTTTTGAGCAGTGTACATCACTTCTACCGGTTTTGCTCCCATTCGTATAACTCCTTCTTAGTGCGTCGTTTTTTTTTTTTTTTTTTTTTTTCTGTCTAAGATTGTATTTGGTTTACGTCCCAAGGACAGACCTGGCGGATATGGCACGAAGTGTAAAGTTACCAAACAGTTCCGATAATCGGGTTTTGGGACGAAAATCTAACTAAATCCAGTGAATTTTTGCCCCCATTATCGGTATAAAAGACAAAAACTCATTGTTTCAATGCAAATAAGCCTTCTTCTATTCCCAGAGGTTTCTAGCTTTTGCTGATTTTAACTTTAGAGCAAGATGTGAAAGGATTAGCATTCACCTGACACACACAGCTTTTCGAGCCGTCCGAAATTGTATTGTGGTTCATATGAAGTTACATTTGATAAAATTCAACTCTATTAAGTCTCATCAAAACATAAAGCAAACAGCGGTAAGTGTAAGAATGCATGAACTTCCAAACCATGTTCGGGTTTGCAATCCTTTTCTCGGTGTGTTCACAACTTTCATCTGATTTTCGTTGTTTGGTAAAAACCCTAACTTCATCCGGTGATTATTGGAACAATGTCTAAATAATTATATTATTTTTCGGAAATCTGACAGCCGTTTCTTCATTATTTGGTAACTACAAAATTGTAAGTTTTTAAAACGTCACCATTGATTAATAAAAACGAAAATCGAGAAATAAATCATTTTATGAGTAAAAGAAATTAGATATGATCAACATAAATGAAAAATATAGAAATAGTTCAGTTTATGTATAGGAAAAATCATATATGGAAAGTTTATGTAGAGAAAAGGAAAATCGAGAGGCACATAATTGAGAAACATAGTTCGTGATATATATAGAATAGCCTTCGCACGGTATGAAGTTAAAATTTTTACTTTGCTTCGGATGTTTGGACTCTCGTTAATGGAAAATTGTCCATTATTAGTTAACAACAGGTATTGACTTTTCAAACAAAGTAAATAACGAAGACATATGAAAAGCTTCAAATGATTTTAATGTATTCTTTGGAGTAGACACTTTTTCACTCACGTCATCTTTGGTTTCCTTTTTGAAGTAATGTTCCATGAAATAAGAACTCATGTTAAATTGCTCTTCCTTCATAAGGGAATGGAGACATCGTTTCCAAAGAGGATCTACATAGCTCCTTCGTGACCTATGTTTCGGAATCTTCCAGTTCTCTGACAATTCTTGAACTATCTTCCACATCATGTAATTGGCTACCACCCTGAAAATAAAAGTAATAGTTACTGAATTAATGAATAGATTATACCCTTATTAGGTAGGTTGGTTGCTTGTTAACGGAGGACGGGGACGCCTGATGTCTAACAGAGGTGAACAGTCTTGTGTCCCGCGCCCTCCACTAACCACTTATTAGTGGGTGTTACGAAATGTACAGGCACGGTAGGGTATCTTCCCCGCAAAGCAGTTTTAGGGTTGCCATAAAATGGCAAGGGAAGGCGAGGTTGCCACATTCGGCGAGAAATTGCATCATTTGGCGACAAAATTGGCGATAAGCCATAGACGGAGAACCTTCCGTCCAGGATGAAACATCTCACGGGATGAAAGGAGAATAACGAAAACATGAAGAAGAAAAGAAAGTTTACCCCAGAATGTTCTCGAGCACAAGCCAAAAGCTATATAAACCCTGCTGGTACACGGAGAGTTAGTGTCGAGGAGTTAGTAAGTCCGTGCGGAGTCAATCGAGTTGACAATCGGTGAGTGAGTGCTGAGTTGGTCGTCGAGAGCACCGAAAGAGTCTCTTAACCTTTTGAGGCCGGGGCTTTGGTAGCAGTAAAAGCTACCAAAGGACGGGTAATCTTGAACCGAATGCTTTCCCCCCTTTAAGAAATTAATCACCTCCTATTTGCAACAAAGACTTGTGTGTAGTTTAATGAATTCTCAGAGGGGTGCTTCTATGTCGCTAAAGGAAGACCTTTGAAAGAGATGTAGTTATAACACCAGGGACGTCAAATTTGACATTTTACCCAACTTTTCAGCCTGATAAATGGGGGAAAAAGACATGGCCACTAAAGTGGACAACCCCGTCTTTCAAAGAGAGGGCTCTATGGCCACTATAATGGCCATGCCGTCTTCAAAGGGTTAATGTATCGCGAGTTAGTGCATCGTCGAGTTTATTCTGAGAGAGTGTTGAGCTCCGGGAACGACTGGACCGAGGAGTCGGGAGCTGTACTCTAGTTGGAATATAAATATGATGTGGTATGTGATAATGGAATGTGTGATCTATAAAGGAATATAAAATTATAGTAACTTGCCCCCAAAGGATGGCAATTCAAATAATTTAAATTAAGTAATATTTATTATATCTTGACTTCATTAAAGTTTGAATCAATACCAGCATAAATTTAGTAAATATCGCCAGACAGAAGATTAGCAACTGTGATCGTACAGCGGCCGAAAGAAACAGTCCTACCATTTTGAATCCTAACTTTTCGTACGAGAAATGTTTAATATTCCTAGATCTCAGTTCATCATCGTTCAGCAAAGTTTCATGATAAAAAAGTCACATTTTATAACGGAGGAAATTGAGTTGACTGGTTATTGAATATATTTTTGAAAAAACACAAGGCAAATATTCATATCATCAGTAAATGGAGCACGTGCACATGAAGTCCTTTCGAGGATTTTTAAATTGTAGAACATCGTTAATTTACGGCAGAAGTCAGCATCTATATAATTTTAGTTGAATCTTCAGTACCAATTCCTTTGCTAGGAGGAATACATTGCTCTATATACAATATGGAGATGGCAGTCAAAAAAAAAAGGGGGGAACGAAAAAGAACAAAATGTCACACACGCGTCATCCGGGGTGAGGACAGCCAGATGACCGTCCTACACCTTCGGAGCCCAGCAGCAGAAGGAAGAGAAACCGGTTGTAGCCGTCAATTTCGCTCTGTGATTGAGCGGTCGCAGTGCACAGACTTGATGTTGAATAAATGTGGAGGCTTGTCTGCACACTAGTCTATCGTCGAGTGCATCGCGAGTTGTAACGTGATTAGTCTCGAGATTATGTGGAGTTCCGAGAACGACCGAGAAGAGTCGGGAGTTGTACTCTGGTGCTTTACAATGAAGCTGCCTCCACCGTTATAGCCTGATCGCTTGAAGGCTAGAAAATGTATGTAGCCGCGAATGATATTATTAAGGTTCAAAGAAATATCGCACTTCGATGCGTTTTTGTTAAAAATGTGATACGAACTAAATACTGCTACTTTAGCCATTGCGTCCATGCTAATCTAAAAATGCGTTTTGTGTACAGAAATAAAGATTTCTTTATGTAAAATTCTGTTGTACCTAAACAACTGGTGGAATAACATATCATGCTTGCCTTGTAACCTCAAAAGACCTAAAACCGTAAATGTAAACAAAAAATAGAACGAAATCTTGCGTTAATAAATACAGTTGAAATTTCAAATAATAATATAAACATATAATGCAGTACAAAAGAATTTGTAAGATCTGTTTAAACATTTCACGAAAAAGGAAGTTACTGCATACCCTTTTACTAAATACGTAGTAAAAGTACACTTCGTACCTTAGTATTTTGCATTTTATTACACTGAGCATATAGTTATTACGATTATGAATTATTTTATTGATCATATTTGATTTCGTAAGAAGATTTCGAAGACATCATTAAGAATGCAGAATGCATACAATAATACAGAGGCTGTTCGAAGATCTTTTCAGACGATTTTTCATTTTATTTAAAGAACTTTTTTACCAAACATTTTTGGGTTTTTAATGTTCTATTTGATAACTCTTATTCTTCACTACCTTTCTACAGTGTAATTTATAAGATAACAAAGCCTTCTATAGTATCGGGAGAGTACATTAAACCATTCCTCTTGAATAAGTTTACGAAGTCTAAGAAGGGTTTAGTTCGACATTTTGATGGTACCTTTTTTAAAGTCAAAAATCACAAAACTCGTTGGGTGATACATCAGGCGATTTAATAAGGATATGAAAGAAGGGTTATTACATTGACACCCGTTTTTTGTTCCATTTTGTACAGGTGGATTTTCACGTGTATCTGCTTGCTTTGTCTTGATGCAGTTCTACTGACTGTTGGTAAAGAAAAATATTTCATATTTGAAAACTGGGTATAAAACATGTTCCTGATAGTACGTGTAGTCAATTCTAACATTTTTCTCCACTTTTACTTCTTTGTACGAAGTACACTAATGTCCATAAATTAAGGATAATTCGGAGTCACGCGGAAATCGAACTCTAAAATAAATGTTTCACCTGTAAAATCACTACACACATCTTCAAGAATCATATGCAAATTTCAGGAAGTAACCAGATGACACCGATGGTACGTCACAATGACAAAAGTGTAAGAGAGAGATATATAAGGAATACAGGCAAAGAAGTAAAATTGTTCGCAGGCGCTTTATAAGCATTTCAGTGCAATAACCGAATAGTTATGACACAAAGGACGCATTTGGATGATTTTTTACGTGGTAGAATTATCGGCAGTCTGGAATGTGAGTGTACCCAACTGGAAGTATCAGATGAACTTGGAATTGCCCAGAGTGTCATCTCCAGGCTTGGGCAACGATTCCAAGATGATGGTAATGTGAGTAGACGTTATAGCACAGGTCGCCCCAGAGTCACGATGCCGAATGAGGACCGGTATTTCGCAGTTGCCAAAAGAAACAGGCGCAGCACAGCCTCAGACCTGTCTCGTCAGCTCTCTTCAGCCACTGGTACGACAATTTCAAGGCAGACCGTGTACAGACGCTTAGGGCAGATTGGTCTATATGCTCGCAGACCTGTCAGATGCGTTCCACTTACTGCAACTCACTGTCGCCTGCGATTAGCCTGGAGTAGAGAGCATGCATTGTGGACAACGCAACAGTGGGCTTGTGTGATGTTTTCCGACGAGTCCAGGTTCAGCTTGCAGTCTGATTCTCGCCGGACGTCCATATGGAGAACCCCAGGTACTCGTTACCACTAAGAAAACATCATTGAACGACACCGTTACGGTGGTGCAGGAGTGCTGGTTTGGGGTGGAATTATTCTGGGTTCCAGAACTGATCTGCATGTTCAAATTGGAACCATGACGAGCCAAATCTATCGGGACGTCATTGTGGAACAACATGTACGTTTGTTTCGCGGCGCCATGGGCGCACAATTTGTGTTTATGGATGACAACGACCGTCCTCACCGTGCAAACATCGTAAGCGGATGCCTTCAATCGGAGGATATCACCCGTATGGACTGGCCAGCACTCTCACCGGACTTGAATCCAGTAGAGGACGTGTGGGACATGCTTGGCCGACGAGTTGCGGCCCGTCAACCTCCTCCTACATGTCTACCGGAACTTCGGAGAGCATTGCTTTTTGAGTGGTGTAATATCCCCTAAACGATCTCTGGATAGAGGTGGACGTGATGCATATGTCAGTTAACTTTTTGGTAAAGGGATGGTGCACACGTCCCCCGTTACCTACAACTATAACTAAGATCAGATCGATAATTTGATACTCAGCATGCCTAGGCGTTGTACGGGCTGTATTGCATCGTCTGGGAGACATACAATGTATTAACAATCATACCAACCATGTAATATTGGTTTTTTGTAAATAGTTTGTTTTTGTAAAATGCTGCAGGGAGAAAAATCGCTAAATGTTTTAATAATATCAAACATATAGCATCTTTTTTTGCTCTTTACCTTTTAATAAATAAGCTTTAGAAATAAGCCAAATTTGTTTTGCTTCTAACTCTTCCTTTGCCTGATTTTGCATTATCCTTAATTTATGGACATGAGTGTAAAAAGGAAGTATTGTAATCGCGCAAATTTTCAGGCAGCATATTTCAACGAAAATATCCATTTTGACCGCTATCGAATGCAATTTAACGATGTTTTTGCGTGACATCTGTACGTAAGGACAGAATGAAAGATTCTATTCCTCCAAAAAATTATAAAACTGCTATAAATCGAATTCGGAAGAGAATTTTTCGTGGTGTCTGTACGTACGTAAATATGTATCTGGCATATCTCAAAAACGAGTAGCATCAGAACTTTAAAATTTTGTATGTAGGACTTCTATAACATGTAGATGTGCACCTCGTATTTTGGTTGCAATCAGCTGCATCAGACGTATATAAATAAATATATGTATATATATATATATATATATATATATATATATATATTCACTCTGTTACCCAGCTCAGTGATCTCAGTTTCGTTACTTTATATGTTTGCAAATTGTTCATTTTTGCTTTAAAAATGATTGAATTATGTTGTTCTTATTTCCGGTTAAAGTTTTTATCATTTGAATTAATTGAATGAGAAATACTGAATCTTCTATGAAAAACTGTTTTTTTTCTTTTGTTTGCTTAATTTCGTTTATACATCGTTCTAGATTTATTATAGTGTTTGAAAAAAACATGTGGGAACGATTAGGTAATTCTTCAAATGATATAAATTTTGTGCATTCTGAGTTATAATATGACCGATTAAAGACAACGATATAATAATTAACAAACCTTTAGATATTGCTAATAAATTTGCTGGTACCTTTAAAAAGCAATTTACCGTCAATCAATTCTACAACACAAATAATTCGCTCATCTGCAGTCATGTAACCAACTTTCTCTCCGCCCACCAAAATAAAAGAAACTATCCTACCTCACCTAATGAAATTAAATCTTTAAATACTAAATTAAATCCTAATAAAGCAGCATATTTCGACAGCATCACTAATAAAGCACTCATGGAACTTCCCAGAAGAGGAATTGTGCAAATCACAAATATCTTTAATGCCTGCTTAAGAATAAACCTTGTTCCTGGCAACTGGAAATACGCCGTTATTATTTTTATCTGAAGAAGCCTGGGAAGAACGGTTCTGAAACTCCATATGATCGAATTACTCTCAGTTTTAGGAATTAGGTAGGTAATTCTTTAAATGATATAAATTTTGTGCATTCTGAGTTATAATATGAACGAAATATAACGCTGTTAAATGAATCTAGCTCTAGAGTGTCGCTATGGTAAGCAAATAGAGTGAATTTTAAAGAGTACATTTATTCTATTGTGGTTTATGCGCTATCAACGAAGTAGATTTAATTCAATCCAATAAGTTTAAATGAAATGCAAGAAAATATGTGTATAATTGAATATTCAGTACAAGGAAGTCATGTGGTGTACACATCAGAATTTGTATTTTAAATTTGCCGTTATATGAGAAACAAGCAACAATCATAAATTCCTTTGAAAATTTTTAGACTCTTTGAACTACGTTTTAATATTTTTTTCTCCTCTTTGATCAAATTAAATGCATTTTTTATTGCAGTCATTTAAATGCACCTAAGATTCATTTATTGTGATATCAATTTGCCATTTTTATCATAACAATGTTTCTTATAAAGCAAATATTCCCATTATATTTTTCTCCTTTTTTAATTTTCGAATAATTCCTCCTCTGTTTATAGTTGATTGTTTTTGTCCTTTGATTTGGCTGAGGTTCTGTAGGGTTTTCCTTATTTTCCATAACAAATTTATTTTAGTTGATATCTTTATCTGAACTTCTCAACTTTCCCTCACATTCTCTTACCAGGATGTAAACTTAAAGTGGAGTGAGGTGCGTGTTTAAACGGGTGAATCTCTGCGTTTATTTATGAGCATGTTTATGCTAGCCAGCGCACGTTACGTTGTTGTTTCGCTGTTACGCTAGTAAACCTCTTGGCCATATCGGAAATGTCATCCCGCCTGTTAGGTTTTTGTGAGTCCACATGTTAGGCGTAACTTACGGTTATCCAGAATTACTTATTTTAGATTTTGACTTGAATTATATTCTACGTTTTTAGTTTCACCCCAAGTTTGACGGTGCCTAACGAACGAAGACAGTGCCTTTCTGTTAACTATCTTGAATTAATAAAGGGCTATTTTCACCCTTCTTCTGTGTGGTAGTTATTCACGCCTGTGCGAGAATTCGCCAGGTTAATTTGTAGGATCTAATCTATTTATGTGTAAAAACAGAGTACGACCCTATAGTTCTTTCTCTATTAAAGATCTTAACCATTGCAACATTTGAAACAGTCCGTTTTTTTCCTTGGATATGTTTTTGGAACAAATTTTCCATTTGAAACCAAACTGTGGTATTTTTTTCCTTTCTTGTTGACAATATTACCTATCGTAGCTTTAGATATCAGAAACCCATGGCTTTCACATTGTTTTTTAATAATTAAATAATACGATACTTTCTGCGTAAAGAGCACAAACAGATCCTTCTATCCATTGCATCTTTTAAAGCTCCATTTTGCATGGAAACAAAATTGTCAACTAGCAGACGATAATAACTAGCAGAGATAGTCGTAGGCTTTATTTATCACAATTTACATAGTTTTTAACAGAACTGGATCAAATAACGTCTGCCTTATAGAATTAAATTTAAATTAAGATATTATTTTTAATATTCATCCCAATAAAATTACAAAATTTGTTTCCTTGCCTTCGAGAATGAAAATGAAAAATTAATATAAATTTGATTATCATCGAGTTTTAGATTGCAGTGATTTTTTTTAACTTTTAGCTTCACTCTCTCTTTTTAATTAAGTAGTTTACTTCTTTCATTATATATAAATAATATTTTAGCAACTAGTTACGAAAGTGGAAACTCTTATGCAATTAGTCTTACCTCGTGTTTGTCTTTGTGATGAGTTCGGCAAAATTGATAATGAAATTCTTATCCATAACAACTAACGTTTTATTTTTAATTTGGCCATTCAGCATTCTGTTGAAATACTTAATCCAGTTAATCTGCAAGAAAGTAAAACTGAAAATTTTCATATATATACCAAAATGCACAGGTTGTTTACATATTTTTAGAATAATTTCGATAAAGTGCGAAAGAAAAAGCAAATGTTTCCGATTACAAATTACTGAAAAACAGATTATTTGAAATAAGAATTATCCTCTGATACTTTTAAATTCATTCATGCTTCCAAATGACAGATGTAAACAAGCTGTGAATTGAAGAATTGTTTTTTGCGCTTATAAATATTTCTATTCGATAATTCAGAAACGTTATGAAATGCATGGTATTAAAAATCTAAGTGCAAAATAAGCAGGATTACTAATTGAAAATGGAAAAACCGTCGATAAATACTTTCACATGGAAAAAAAGACTCCAAAAAATCTTTTGTAACAAGAGAAAATCTTCTGAAGCAGTTCAATTACAAATTCTTTTAACTACATCTGTAGCAACAATAAATAAACAATAAACCAAGATTTATAACTTAAAAAAGCTAAAAACATAATTTTCAGAAGCTTTTGCTTAAGCATACGGCTGTATGCAGAACACTTGGGTATAACCCCTTTGGAAATTATACTACTGGCCATTGCAACACTATGAAGGAAAGCAAATGCAAAAAAAGGTACTTATTGTGCATAAATCCTATGGCATGAAGACAAAATTTTCAACTTTGTAAGCAATCTGTTTACAGAAGTGCAAAGTTTACGACTTTGTAAG